CTCTTCTGTGGCCCTGGCCGCCACCCAGTGACCCCCCACCGCTGCCTCCCCTCCCCGTGTCGCACCCCTCGAGCCCCTGTCCCTCCTGCGCAGGCCCCGGAGGAGAGCACATTCCGCACGTCGAGTGTGTGTCGCAGACCCTGCTCCGCATTAACCAGTGGGACCCTGAAGGCCAGGCTGAGATCTTGGTGTTTGGTCAGCCTTCTTACCAAAAGGATGTGTCCAAGATGATCATGAACTTGGCCTACTATCACCGCCAGCTCCGGGCGCAAAGTACGGGCCCCGAAATACTGAGGGGCACCCTGGGTTCCTGGCGGGCGGGGGTGGGGTGCCTGATGCCTCCTGGATGTGCCCTGGCCGCCGTCTCATCCTCTTAGTTCGCCCCGAGTGGGTTTCCTCTTTGCAAGGGGTCTAGAAGGTCACGGGCCCGCACCCCGGCATCCCTTAGGGATGAGTCCTGTATTGCAGAGAGTATGGGCCCCAGGCGCGGTCTCCTCGCACTGCTCTTCCAGGCTCAGGGAGGAGCGCTGCCCAGGACACCGAGGCCCAGCGGTCCCCCGACGCTGCTGAGGAGACCGAGGCCCAGCGGTCCCCCGACGCTACCCAGGAGGCTGCGACCCAGAGGTCCCCCGACGCTACCCAGGAGGCTGCGACCCAGCGGTCCCCCGACGCTACCCAGGAGGCTGCGACCCAGCGGTCCCCCGACGCTACCCAGGAGGCTGCGACCCAGCGGTCCCCCGACGCTACCCAGGAGGCTGCGACCCAGCGGTCCCCCGACGCTACCCAGGAGGCTGCGACCCAGAGGTCCCCCGACGTTACCCAGGAGGCTGCGACCCAGAGGTCCCCCGACCCTACGCAGGAAGGGGCGACCCAGAGCCCGGTTCCCAGGTTATGAAGGCATTGGGGGCCCGGGAGCGTGAGTCAGGCAAGGTTCAAGTGAAAACCCCTGTCTCGAGCCCTGTTCTCCTAGGTCCTGCTTTTGCAGCAGAAGCTGGGAAAAGGATGGTGTGGGTTGTTCTTGGTTTCCCCTCCCCACCCCTCACGTTAAGCGTTTGCAAACCTGAATCTAAAAAGTTCTAACAAAGAACCGAATTTCCTTAATAAAGAATCGAATTTCCCTACCGTCTGTTAATTGGCAGATAGAAGGGGAGGGAGGGCCACCTTCCCCCAGCAGCCAATATCTGCTCTAGGCTGCTTTCTATCTATAAGCAGGTGAGACCTGCAGGATTTCTAGCCGCCAGAGGCCACCAGGCAGGTGCTTCCCTAGTGCTCCCTAACCTCACACACCTGGCTTTGCCCAGGAGCAGGCCTCTCCCGCTCCTCACTGGGAAACCTCCCCCAACCTGTAGAGGGGCACCCTTTGTCACTTTTTAAAATTGTATACTTGAAATAGTGTAAATGCAAGGTGTTTAACATGTTAATGTGACACATTTACATATTACCATATGATTGCCCGCTGTAGCTATAATTAGCACCTGTCAGATTTGGCTTCTGACTCCAGGTGACTTAGACACCAGGTGCCTGCTTGAAGGAAGCAAACTGCTAACAGCTGGGTGCTCAGATTAAAAAACAATCATAAGCACCAATCTTAGTGTTAGGGAAACTTTCATCTTAAAAAATCCAAGGGAGCTCTGGCCAGTGTTGCTCAGTTGGTTGAACATCAGCCCATGCACCAAAAGGCTGCTGGTTCAATTCCCAGTCAGGGCACATGCCTGGGTTTCAGGCTTGATTCCCAGAGGGAGTGTGCAGGAGGCAGCCAATTGATGTTCTCTAACCTCGATATTTCTCTCTGTCCCTCTCCCTTCTCTCCCTCAAATCAATTAAAAAAAATTTTTTTTTCAAGGGAATCCAACTTTGAAGACCAGGGGAGTGGTATGTCTATCATAGACTCATTGGTTACCACTAATAGATGGTCAATCCAATTTTAAATAAGTATTTATTTTATAATAAAGATACAAAGCTGAATTTACAATAGGTTATTAACTGTTTTTAGAAGAGGCAAGAAAGGCTTAGGTACTTCTATTCAAGACTCAATTAGTGTAGACTCAAAGTTTCAATTGATGCTACAGAGTATAACAACAATTAGTATTGAACCCCTCCTCCCCCCCTTCAGTAGTACCCACATGACCAGAATGGCAGATTCTCTCCTTTACAAGAGAGATCACTGAGCAGCAGGTAGTAAGCCAATGTGAACATTTAGGAATCTGTGACTATTTCAAAACTTTCACAAAAACATACCTTATATATGCACACACACACATAGATATGTCTGAGATGATTTGGGGTAAGATACAGTAAACATCCTTGGTTGGAGGTTGGAGAGAACCAAGAAAAGGGAGGTTGAATTTTAAATAAAAGCATTTAGTTGTGATGACACATAAAATTCTTTATGCATGTATAGTGTTGCTTTAAAAAACACAAGGTATTAGTCTTCTCAAAATGGCATGAACCAGTGCCACCTGAATTTTCACCTAGATCAAAGTTCCTATCTTATACACCTCCCTATCTTTCCTCTCAAATGTACTCTTATAGTTTAACTTGTACTTTTACATAATTACACATAGCTTTTTTTTTCTTCCAGCAGCTTGATTTTCCTCCTTATGAGTCCATTTTAACTTTTCCCTTACTAACTGGTTGATTAGTTTCCCAGATTTCTCAGTTACAAACTGCTGCATTGAATTTCTATTTGCATCTTTGTGTCCATGTTGGAATACCAGGTGTAGCAAAAGTAGGTTTAGAGTTGTGAGCAAGCAAAACAACTTATTCTTGTATCATTAATTATTGTATTATTTTCCATATGAACAGCTGTAAATCTACTTTTGCCACACACATTATTTGTATGGGAGCGTTTCCTAGAAGTGGAATTGCTGGGTTAAAGAATGAGCACCTTTAAAATTGTTGTACTGACAAACTGCCCTACAAAATGTCCATACCAATTTATTTTGGTTTTTTGTGTTTTGGGGGTTTTTTTGAGAGAGAGGAAAGGAGAGGGAGAGAAACATCAATGTGAGAGAGAATCATTGATGGGCTGCCTCCTACATGCCCCCTACTGGGGATCAAGCCCACAACCTGGGCATATGCCCTGGCCGGGAACAGAACTGGCTAGGGCCACACCAATTTATTTTCCCACTAAATGGTTTGAAAGCTATTTTCTGTACTTATGCAAACTCAAAGTTACCAATCTATTTTGTCCACACGTATCATTTTCAAAAATTTTTTTCATTATCTACCCCACTATTTTAACCACGTAGCTTTATAGAAGGGCAAGCCTACTCCCACAGTTCAAATTGGCAGTCTTGGTTATATTTTTTCCAGATGAAACAACTTGTTAAAATGCATAGAAAAATGAGGAAAAAGGTATAGATGGCTTCCAAAAATATTGGTTTTGTTAAGGTACACTACAGTGTTCCTTCTAGTCTTTAAATGACATGTACATTACATATGCATGGAAGCATGTATTTTACCAGTTAAAAGGTGGTAAATTAGATGGAACAACTCTGGTAACTGAGGCCCAAGGCAGTCAATGGAAGGTCATCAAAGAACAAGGGCAAAACCTACAGGAGTCTAGAAACTGATTCTTTTTTGTACACTTTTGCAGGTAAAATAATTGATAGCTAGTGAAGTCAGAATAGGTTTTGATTAGGCTGACTAGAGACACAAAAAAGTTCCTTGTTGACAGAATCTGTAGAAAAATTGAGTTTCGCTATTGGAGCACACACAAGTCTGTCTCAAGGTTTTCCTTCAGCTCCATTTTAAGCCAGGTTGGCACTGGATTTCCCCCTCATCAGAATTTCTCAACTCCACACTTTTGATCAAAACAAGGCCCTTTAAAATATGACTAAGAGTGGGACAAAAAACAACAAAAAACCATGTGCCTCCTGGTGTGATGCACTGAGGACACAATATGATTTATCTAGTATTTTTGCCAAAAAATATATAACCTAGATCTAACCATGAGGAAACACCAGAAACACAAGTAGGATTGTAAATGGAAATTAAAAACTGCAGACAGTCTGAGAATAGTGAATCATGCAGTTTGGGGCTGGGTAAATAGGTTGGCAGAAAACAGTTTAGTGTGGACAGTGTCTTTAGACAGTACAGTTTCAGTTATTTATGGAGCCTGGAAAATCTTGAGGATTTAGCTGTGGAACATGTGACAGGCTGTTATATCTGCCTCTGTACTTCTTGTTCACACCTCAAATTTAGTTAATAGACAGCTGCACTATTTACCTTCACTAGAATTTTTCACCAGACACCTAGGAAAACTTTGTTTTACAGTCTTCCTAAGTCCTTCTGAAGCACCTATATAATCAGGGGTATTTTTGTTTTTTAAATCCTCGCCCTAGGATCTGTTTTTATTGATTTGAGAGAGAGGAAGGGAAAGAGAAACAAAATAACAGACTGGGTGGCTTAAACATTTATTTTTCTCAAAGTTCTAGAGGCTAGAAGTCCAAGATCAAGGAGTTACCAGGTTTGGTTTCTTCTGAGGCCTTTCTCAGCTTGTAGATGGCTGCCTTCGTGCTGTGTCTTCACACAGTATTTCCTCTGTGCTCCACCCATCTGTGTCCATATTTCCTCTTATAAAGACATCAGTCATATTGGAAAAAGGCCCACCCATAGAAACTCATTTTACCTTAATTACCTCTTTAAAGGCCCTATCTCCAAATACATTCATATTCTGAGGTAATAGAGGTAAGTGCAGGATCATTTAGTAATTTAGTTGTGAATAATCTGGGGAAAATTGGAATAAATTTTAAGCATAACCCTCTTTCTCCAAACAGCCCAAAATGTTCAATGGTTTTGAGAAATCCCACTAGGAAAGCCTGAAGGAATATTTATTAGATTTCTACAGACTAGCCTGGCCAGTGAGGCTGATTGGAGCATTGTCCCGTACACACCAGAAGTTGGTAGGTTTGATTATCAGTCAGGGCACATGCCCAGGTTTCAGGTTCAATCCCCAGTCAGGACTCATTTGGGAGGCAACTCATATTCTCTCACATCAATGTTTCTCTCTCTTCCTCTCTCTCAAATCATTAATACAAAAAATTCTACAGAATAAGAGAAAGCAGGAGTTACTAACCTTAAAAGGATGAGGGGAAATCGCACAGAAGACAATTGGTTTAACTACATACAATAATTTTTCACATGCAAAAAATATTTGAGAAGCAAAGGAGTAGAAAGTATAATCCAAAAATGAGAAGCGAAGTAGGAACATGATCATTATCACTTGTAATCAAAGAAGCATATTTTTAAAAATATATGTATATATCTTTCCTGATTTCAGAGAGGAAAGGAGAGGGAGATAGAAACATCAATGATGAGTCATTGATCAACTGCCTCCTGCACGTCCCCGACTGCGGATCGAGCCCGAAACCCGGGCATGTACCCTGACCCGGAATCGAACCCCGATTGCCTGGATCCTAGGTCAACACTCAACCACTGAGNTGACTGCGGATCGAGCCCGAAACCCGGGCATGTACCCTGACTGGGAATCGAACCCCGATTGCCTGGATCCTAGGTCAACACTCAACCACTGAGCGACACCCGGCCAGGCAAAGAAGCGTATTTTAAAAGATATGTGAGTGTATTTAAAAGCCTTTGCAAACAGCTAAAATACTTTACTGCTAAGGGGTGAAGAACATGCATGAGTTAAATCAACTTGAACTTTGTGCCTGAAGCCACCAGAGCTCTTGGCAAACTCTCCCCACAAGAAATCTGCTTCCTGAAAGTGGAACCGGCAAGGGGTAGGGCTGTTTTGCACAAGTTGGTCATAGCTATTTAATGGAAAAACAAATCAGCTGGTTCAGGACACCTGGGCAGGCCTCAGGGGAAAAGGAGACACCTAGCCTGGTGACAGAACACCTTCTGTGGGACAAACTGCCCAGGATCCCAGCTCTTCTCTTGTGAAATCCCAGCACCAGCAGAATGAATGCTGATGGCCTCAGCTTTCCTGTGCAGAGGGAGGCTCCACTCAAGAAAACTCACACTTGGTGCTACTCAGGGGGCAAACCAGCAGCTTCCAAGTGAGAGCCTCAAAGGAGAATCATTGATTGGAATTACCTAGGAGCTTCTTAGTAATGCAAATTCATGGTCCCAGTGTACTGAATCAGAATCACTTGAGGAGCATTAAACCGTTTTAGGAAGCTCTTAAGGTGATTGTACACACAATGATACAAAAAACCCAAAGCATATTGACCCTACATCTCTGCCTCTGGTGCATGAAGGCCTGACTCTGACCATAAGAATCATAAAAGAGTTAGGAAAACAAAAGTAAAACCACTATCGGCCCTTTTACCTACCCCGTACATTAAGACATGCATGAACAGTCAATCTTTTGTAAATTTGCTTAATTTTAAGTGAGCAAAGATCTTTATGCCATTGGACAAAAACAAAATTCATTTCTTTACTAGAACAGCACTCACATTTGCATCAAAAATAATCAAACCACTATCCATCAAGTAAAAGGAAGAAAGAATGCTGAGGTTTAAGGATACCTTGCTTCTTTGAACTTTAGTAGCAGAAGCAGGTTGGCTCTCATGATGCTCCTGACAATATTACGCAACAGGAGGCTGGGGAGTCTGGGGACCTGATGCACGGGCCTTCAAGAACTCCTCAAGTTGTTTCATCTTCTCCTCTGGATAAGCAAAAATGTTCACTGTTTCAAATCACTCCCTGGTTGCAGGATAAGGGGGGGAGGGGTATGCTGGCAACACCAATTCTCAGGGTGGAGATTCTGAACTTGGGATCTAGAAATAGTGGTGTAACCAAACTGAGGCTGGCATGGGCAGTGATGGTCCTGAATGCGCCAGATCTTAGCTTACTCCCCCAAGGCCCTACTTGGACGCCTCACAAAAGGATGTCCAGGGGCAGCCTGCAGCATACTGGACTTGGGAAACTGCAAAGAGTATTGGGAAGGTAAGAGGCTGGAAGGAAGCCAGGCAGGGCCAGGTGGTTCACCCGTGGATCCCTCCACATGCAGGTTTCGAAGACCCTCACCTCGGGCACGATGTTCCCGGTGCCTTGATGCCAGGCTCAGGAGCACGTTTTTTACCCTGTTTTGTACACGGGGCTGTCCGAAGATAGTGACTTCGACGACGTTCTCGGTGCTGACTGTGTCCACCCTCAGCAGGACCTGGTTCATCCACTCTAGTTCTGGAATTACGCCTCTGTCTGGGCCTACACAGGAAAAGAGAGAGTCTGAGGGGCGGCGTGGTGGAAGGGCAGGAGGAGCCAGGCTTGAAGGCCATGCCGTCGGGGGAGGGAAGAGCGGCAGCGGGCATCCTGGAGCCCCCCGCGGCCCGGGAGCCGGGGAGACTGCAGCGAGCTGCCCTGCAGGGCCTCTCTCAGGCTGCAGGGGCCCCGGCCACCCGCACACCCGGGGTCGCTCACCAAAGACCAAGTCAGCCAGCCAGGCCTCCAGGTAAAACACCAAGGGGTCTCTCAGCTCCTGCACAGGAAACCACCAGGGCCGGGTGCGAAGCCGCGGCAGTGGGAGCGGCGTCCTCAGCAGCGCGTCCAGGGGCGGGGCGGGCGTCCAGGGGCCCCCCGGGGCCGCAGCACCTGGCTGGTCCACCATGCTG